CATCATCATCGATATCCATCGTGTTCATCACTGTATGACCAATTTTAATGTATGAAGAATACTCATGTATGACCAATGTTCACGTATGACCATGTTCACGTAATAACAATGATTTGAGCAATTATGTTCACGTATGAACAACATTGCTATCAACAGTGTTCATTTAAAAACAATATTTGGTGAACAATGATGAATTAATGTCAATGTTGTAGTTATGAACAACATAAGTGAATGTGTTCACTTATGAAACCATCATAAAAGCTAGTTTACCCATCATTATCTCCCTCACCGTCAACCATAACCATCTCTGGTCATTGTCTCCCTCACCGTCAACTACCGTCTCGTAACCACCAGAAGCTGCTACCAGGTCTCCCACCTCTCACCTCCATCACAACACCCTCACGACCATCTTCTATTCTTTCTCGAACTTTTTAGTATCCCCTCATCCTCACCATCAACATTTTCAACAGTTCAATCCCATGTCTGGTCCTTACGGCAACCTTCAACGTCTCTCTTCCTCACTTGCAGACTTCAACCAACTCTATTGACATCTCCCTTTTTCGGCAGCCTTACTTCATCAAGGGTCGACCTCGTCCCCACACTTGCAACTCTGCTGATGAATGTCATGAACAACTTCTGGAAGAAAAATAAATTATCTGAAATTAATAAGATTTAAAAACCATCCATAATTATCTGTGATATAATTAAGGCAACTAACTATCACACACGATTTTCTCTCTTTATTCATACATTTATTAACCATATTTTTTAATAAAAAAAGAATACCAAAATACCCTCACAATATATGTAGCAACCGTGGGATGAAACTAAGTCAGGATGTGAATTCTGATTGGTCGATTTATGATAACAAATTTAACACTAATAACTTGGTTAACAAAAGAAAATGTCTCTTTATCTACACAGTACACACACATACACAAATGCAAAAACCAAGTCATTTGTACAAATCATACAAGACTTTGGATCACGTGAGACCAACTTGTTTTTGTGAAACCCGTTAGATTATTTTTTTTATACTTGAAACTTCACAACAAACATTGTGAAAATAACCTTCACAGTGTTTTTGATGTGAATGTTTTGATTTTTTACTTTCACATTGTTTTAATGTGAAGTTTCAAGTGTAAAAATGTGGTCTCACGGATCTTACAAAAATATGTTGGTCTTACGTGAACCTAACCCAACTGTACAAAGTGTTGATTTCATTGTTTTATTTAATGAAATTGGTTTATATAATTTTTTTCTTGATAAATTTGTTTCATATATTTTTGTTTCTTCGTAAAAATGAAATTGTTTCATATATTTCTGATTTTAATGAAATTTGTTTTCTGAAGTTAATATAATGAAGATGATAATGTCCATAATTAACGCTCTCCATAATAAAAATGACTAATCAACTCTTATAATTAAAAAAAGAAAATTTATGATTGGTTGAATGCAGTTTGTACGTTTTATACAAACGGTTTGGTTTGCATTTGATCCTCCCCCCATATATATATACATACACACACACACACACACACACACACACACACACATATATATATATATATAGACTTGTGATCACGTGATACCAACCTGTTTTCATAAGACATGTGACCCCACTTTTTTATATTTGAAACTTCACAGCAAAACGCTGTAAATGTAACATTCACATTGTTTTTGTTATGAACGTTCAACTTTTTTTTACCTTCACAGCGTTTTGTTCTGAAGTTTTAAGTGTAAAAAAATGGTTTCACATGTCTCATGTGAATCTAACCCTATATATATATATATATATATACTTATCATCATAAGGTTGGGTCTCACTGAGAATGAAAGTTACAGTGAGAAGAGTAAGAAAAAATTTTCACATTTAGATCAATCGTAATTAAAAAGTTTTACTTAGTTAATACTTAATACTAATAAAAAGCACCTCAATTCTCTTTTAAAACACAATTCATAAGTTAATTTAAAATAAAAAATGATTAAAAGTCGAATTCCTTTCTTATACTTTTCACTTAACTGAATTATCCTTTGTCTATCATCATATCCCACTTTCTATCTATTTTTTTATTTGTTTATTTTCGACAATACAAAATACAAATCTAACTCTGCTACTGCTACCTTTTTTATTTTAATTTATGTTTTCAATTATTTTTCATTTTTTAATTACATCATGGTTATTAAATTCATTTAAGCATTAATTTTATACGTGGGATCTTAGCAACCGATCTCTATGTTTCAAGCAAAACAACTTCATTTTGGTTACCAAAACTTGGATGAATTTTTAAATGGAAATCTTTAACTCGTAATTCTTTCTGTATCTATAAATTATTTGACATAAAAAAGATTTTTTTTATCAATTTTCTAACTAAAAAATAACAAATCATATCTCATTTAAAATTCTAAAATAGGATCTTAAGACAGTATATAACCGTAATATTATTTTCGAGAAAAATACATTTGAAACGAGAAATTTTACTGTATTTTCACCTCCATATATTTTTTAAGAACATATTCCCATTTGATTTAAATTTATGGCTTATGATCTACACATTATAGTTGATATCGAAACTAATGACACACGACACGAGTTGGTATCTAATAAGCATATAAATATATTAATAAAGAGAAAATTATATAACATTTTCTCAACGTATTATGTAACTTATCATACGATACATTATGTTCATTTTTATATGTTGTTCATGGATAATATGCTTTTAAGGATTTTTCATATAAATACAAAAGCAAATATGAAATTAGAAGTTATTTTATATTAAAAAAGTATACATCCGTTTATGGGTTGTTGGACAGTTATTGAATGATTTGGTACAGAATGATTTAGTGGTCAAAATGATTAAAAGATTCTTATAATATAATGCAAAATGAAATATAATTGTTTGATAATTATTCAGAATAAAATTAGGATTTTGAATGGTTAAAGGAAGAGCCAAGATACAAAATCATTCAGATGGTTTTAGAATCATTAAAATTTTTTTTTTTTTTTTTGCAAAACAAAATTTACATCTTAACAATTCAGATGATGCATCTTAATAAAACTATTGAGAGTTAAATAAAGAACCCCTTAATATAAATTAAAGTACTTCAAAATATTATAGATTATTGTATGAATATATCATTGAAAAAACAACTACAATCTATATTGGAACTTGGAAGTGTCTTTGTCTTCTAGTTACTACTTGGAAGTTGGAATTGTTAATACATAGTTTTCGCAGCGGAGATTTTTATCTGTTTTAGGTTTGAATCCCGATGCTATTAAAATTTTCATGATTATGAAGATTTATCTGTATGATTCTAATTCATTTATAATTATTTGAAAAATACATAAAAGTTGGTCTCAATATCCCCAGTTATTTAATAAATTAAATAAATAATACAAATATCTTTTTATAATTATGAACCAAAATGGTAGCTTCAAGTCTTCGTCAAAACTCAAAAGCTAATGTTTTTAATCATATTTTTATAATAAAAATAAAGATTAAATGTAGGTACTGATTAATTAAATATTATAGGTAAATGTGATTGTAAGCGTCATTTCAAAATTATTTTTTAATTAAAAATAGGTTATCCATGTATTTTTAAATTTAAATAATATAATTAATATTATCTATCAAATATATCATATAAAAATAATATTTGATATCAAACCAGCTAATACAATTTACTCCTTCACAAATTCCTGGCTTTCTTTTTCAACGATGTTACTAAGGGTGGCAATCAATTATGTTGGGTTGGATTCAGGTTCAATTCATTTATTAAACATGTTGAAAATCTCAATCAAATCTAATTCATTTAATTAAATGAGTTGAGATTTTTTAACCCAACCCAACTTGTTACCTAAATGGGTTGACAACATGTTGACTTGTTTACGATTTTCTTAACACAACCTGTTAAATAAATGAGTTGAACCTGGATTGACCCATTTAATTTTAACATTTTAAATAAAAAAAGGACTAGACTATTAAATTAATTTTTAATAAAACACAATAAATACAAACAAATTGTTCAAAGTTTGAATAAAACACAAACACAACAATTATATTGTTCAAAATAAGTTGGATTGGACTGTTGAGGTGATAATGGAGTAATGGACTAAAAAGTTTTCTTAGGGTTTCATGATAATTAAGAGTAATGGAGGTAATTGGAATTTAGAATTTCATCCCACGACGATAGGATTTTTAATTAAGAATAAAACAAAATTAAAAATTAGAATACTAAATATAATATTAAGAATAAAATAAAATTATATAATATTTTAAATGAGTTGAAAACGGATTGAAAACAGGTCGAAAAATTTAACACAACCCGACCCATTTATTTAAATGGGTTAGACGGGTTGACCCATTTATTTTGATGGTTGAAAATCTCAACCCAACCTGCTAATTTTGGGTTGGGTTAGCGGGTTGGGTCAACTTTTGCGACCTCTAGATGAATCTCATCAATTTTCTATTCTAGCTTTACAATAAAATTCAAACAATATTACACGATGACTTTATGGGGTTAGTTCAATTGACAATAAGTTTTAGACCTTTAAGGATTTAACTCATAGGTCACCTGTTAAAGTCTTGCAATGCCACTGGAGATTTTCCTGGCTATTTTTCAGACATCTGGGATTAGTTGAGGTGTACACAAACCGACCCAGACACCCATAAGTTAAAAAGACATTACACGCTACACTACGTATCTTATAATTTAGAAAATATTAACACACTAATTTAGTTACACGATTTAAACATCCCCAAAAGTAGGACAATATTGTGTATTGTCGTTGTTGGTGATACACGTTAAACACGACGTCATTGTTGGTTTATTTCCCTGCAATCACCATTTGATCCTCCTTCCACTTCTAAATGTCACATTTGATGGATATTTGGGTGTGATCATACCAGCACCAATGCTTCGGATCCCATCAGAACTCCAGACTTGAAGATAAAATCTTTTATTAATTTTAAATCCTTAATCATAGTTTGTATCTACAGGAACAACTATTTCTATGACTTCATTTTATTTTCTGCCATGAAATTACTCTCTACTATTGTATTGTAAACAGCATTCATTGGTGAATACTGAATCATGAATAACAAGCCCGGATATATTTATATATGCCAAAACTTACACACCCCCTCACCTTTGGTGAGACCTGAACCGTTGACCTCCAAGGCACCAGGCTGGGATCTACCAGGTACCATTCAGCCATTGACCCTTTTGTCAAGCCGATATTTCTTGGTAACATAAAAAGAGCTGGTTTTCATATGCTAGTAGTATATATCAACTCACAGATTAATGCGGAAATCATGACCGAACTTTGGCAAGTCCAGCCCTTAGTTCTTCTAGTTCCTCGTCGTTCACACCCTCTTCCTACAAATTTGCATCAATGGTTAATCTCTTAAACAAAACATTCAAACAAGAGATAGGCAGGCAGAGATACCTCTGCATCTGCAGCCGCTTGCTTTAGCCGCTCCTTCCTGGTGGCTTCAGGAAGCTGTGCAGCAGTCTCACCAGCTATTGCAGTTAAGACCTTATCAACCTCTTCCTCAATCTCCTCTTCTATGTCATCTGAATCCAGTGCTGAGTCAATAGCTTCATCCACAATCTCTTCAATAATTCCTGCCTGATCAGTACAACTCACACAATCACAAACAACTACAATACCATGGTCTATCTCCAAATGTTTGCTGAACTGAGTGGACTCATTTTTACAAATATCAAAGTGAAACATTTAAAAGAATTATGGTTATAGGGCAGGGGTTCATATGACAACCTGGGAACAAACTATTCATGTTTTATTCAAGATGAATGTCATGATAGGTATTCATGATGGATATACATGATTATTCAGGGTTGTTCATCATGAATAATATAAGAAGGATCCTAGGTTCCCAAAATATTTATGGTTCTCATTTGAACTTTTCCCTAAGGTAATAAACCTAAAGAAACAAAGGCAGAGTGCAGAAACGCCTGCTAACCTGCAAGATTTCTACCTTTGCTTATCCACAGGGAAGAACAAACTCAAGAATCTAAGTACCTTAATCATTTCTTTATTGAATTCTTGCATCGCGACAGCCATTTCTGGAGCCTTCATTAGATTGTTAACAATCTTCATGACTTCAGCACTCTTAGACAGATAACCGACCGTGCGAGCAATAGCTGAATAGCATCAAAGGTTAGCAGATAAAACTAATCGAGTCCCAAAAAGGAGCTGCGTGATACACATTCCAAGGTCTAGCTAATTCATAACACCTTATTGCTTGCTTTTGGATATGAGTTGTTTCAAGGGGTAGAACCACATTATCTAGTATTAATTTCAAACTCCTGATAGCTTCAACATATCATTGAGCTTAAAAAGCTTGTCTAATATTCAAAGCTCCTATTTTTACGGCCTTCTCTCAACAATATCACCTATTACTCTATCAGCATACACAAGTACATTGCCATGATGTTGACCAACATTTAGCTTTGTCATTTCACAAAGTGGATGGTAAACGGGATCTAACTATGGCAGAAGTTCTATATCCTGCGATATAATGGCAGATGATCAGTGTTATATATAAGGGAAACTGAGTTGGATAAAAGGAAGCTGTCTTAACTGGATTCACAACCATTCTACAAAGCAGATTATCCATCAATGTTGTATAAAGTTCTTATTTCGATCCCACCATTTCTTTCCTAAGTTGGCTGCTTAATTAGTTTCTACACCATTTTACAACCTTTAAAACTTTTTTAAAATTTAAATCATATATTTCTGCTGGTTCCATAACAGATGGTTCCCCCTTAGAACTTTGTCCATGATATGCAGAGATGCATTTTGGTTATCTTAGGAATACACCGAGCTATAACATAAATGCTACAGAAACAAATAACTATCTATAATCATAGGCAGGTAATGCCACATATATAAAAAAACCAAGCCTCTACTCACTGAGAAATAGCATTGTCCCAAGAGTTTGACAACAAATGCAAAAGATAGGGCATACCTAAGTGTAAGAAGGAACATACCAACACTTTCTCCTAAATGCATTGATATAGAATTCAATTGAGCTTTATTTTCGTATAGGCGATTGACAGTTTTTCTGGATCTCACAACTTCTTTAGCAAGTGCCTGAGATCAATTTTACATGCGAAAAAGTAAATCAAGGGGGAAGAATACAATCACAAATCAAAATATATATACTAACAAAAAGTCAGGCTTGTAATCATGCTTCGGGGTATTGCGAGTTTAGCTGTGAGGGGGTCTTTTGGCAAACTTATATTGTTTTACTGCTCTTCGTCTCTAGGTCATTACTACTTTCGTAGTTTAGCTTATGCTTTTAATGTTCTTACAGGTTTCAATCTTATTTCTTGTTGTTTACTGTGCTTGATTGCTCAAACTTTCCAAGCCTTTTTCCTTGCCCAAAATTGTCCCAATCCCTCCATTAACTCTTGAAAACTTCATTTGTTTCAAATTTTAGACAAACTTCTATTTGAAACACTTTGAAAAGCAGAAGTATTTGGCAACCAAAAACTTAAACACGTTTACATTAGAACTACAACTAAAATATACAGAGCAAAATTACATTCAATCAAGGGACGTGTTAATACCCTGGCAGAGCCCATATCATTCCTCTTGGCAGCCTCTCGGATTGCTTTCTGAACATTTTTCTCTTCTCTTTGTATATCTAATTCAGAACGCCCCAAGAAAAATCAATATCAATATACTAATCGAGTCTACAAGATTAGGCTTTTAGAAAACTACAAGAACAATACAATTTCTACAAACGGGAAAAAAAAGGGAAATCAATTTACCGCGAATTTGACGTTCGATGTTGCGACACTCTTGGCGGAGACGGCGTTGCCAATCGCGTAATAGCTGTTGCGGATTAGGTTTTGGCATGAACATGTTCCTCACTTTCTCCATCTTCTTCGATCAAGGATTATTCTCTTCAAAATTGGGAACTCAAAACTGAAATTGAAGAAGAAAAACATGAAAATGGAAGATCGAAAGATGTGATTCCGAAATCTGTGATCCAATTGTTGCGTTGTTCTTCATAATCTGAAGATCAAATCAACCACTTCGCCTTTCTTCAACGCCACTTCAAATGAAAACCAGAACTATTCTTCTTCTCTTTTAACATTGAATAATTTACATGTATTTAGGATTTATTATTCTTCAATTTAAAGTTTTAATTTTTTTTATATATAAAATTACCAAATTGCCCATCAACGTAATAGATGGACGTTAGGGGCACGGACCGATGGTGTAAGCAAAAAGGAAACGATATCGGTGGATATAAATTCAAGATGTAATTTAAATAAGCTGTACGGATCCATACATGAATATGTTAAAACTATGCGTTTGAATCGGTTATCTCTTGTACATGTGCCACTGTTGGTCCATAAATTAAAACAACACTCGATCGGCTTGTCTCGAGTTGGCTGGGTGAATGAAAAAGATTTAATTGAGTTTCGATGTTTCCTAGTGGTTTTTGGTACGGAATCAAGAAGATCAACAACTCATAATCAAAGGATTGTTTTACTAGTATTCAGTTGGTCACTAGATATACATGGCAAAAAAATGGTCCCATGTCGGGTCGGATCGGGCCCAAATCTATCCCAGGCCGAAATAGTTACAATCCGGACCGGTCTCGGTCCTATCGAAAATAGTAAGGTCCGCTTTAGGTTACTTGTAATTGGTTAGGGTAACCGGTCTCGGTCTCGGTTCCGGTCTCAGGCGGGCCCAAACCGGTCCTATATTAATTTTTTTTTCGAATTTTTTGATATATTTTTAACAATATTTTAATGTTATTCTAATACACTTTAAAATATGTAACTGGGTCAATCAAATACACTTAAAAATATCTTATCACTCTATTAAACAAAACATAAGGCGGTGGATGTTCTTAAAACATTTAAGAACTCACCCATGAAATAACACAAATATCTCATATAAAATAACTATAAACCATAAGAGACGGTGGGAGAATTTAAAATCATTTAAGCACCTAAACAAATTAAACCCCTCAACTTACCACCATTATTTAAAATCAACCCTCAACTTTGTAACCGAAAAACTCGGTTATCACAGGCCACGCCCATTTGGCCATCTCTATGACACTATAGATGAAAGTATATCCAAATGTTCTTAATGGAAAAAAAATTTCTTCTTATTCTTTCCTATTTTGTCATCGTGTTTCCAATAAAACATTGACATATCTTCTTTTTCTTTGTCTAACTACCCTTCTATTTATAGACGAAAGATCATGTGAGAAAGAGAGTTAAAATGAAAAGCGTGAGAAATAATGTGGATTCTTGATCACCTTTAATCTAAAATCCACTCATGAATCGTACATGATACGAAGATTGATCTGATGCATCTCATCCTTATATGCACCCAAGGATGAAGATCCCTTCTTACGTTCACACATTAATTCTCATTATCACCGTAATCGAACTCTTTATTTATATATGCATCCCCTGAATTTACATAACTACCACTTACATTTATGTCCTACGGTTATATTTAGCCATAAGCCTTTAAGACATATCAGAATTTAATTGAAAAAACGTGAAAAAGAACAAAAAAAAAAAGTAAAAGATGTTAATTTTTTTCCGTTATCAAAATATTTTACGATTGATGTTCAATAATCGAAATTAAAATACCAAAAGCCCAATATGATTTTTATTTATTGATAAAAGCCCAATATGTCTTTCATGCTGGGAAGTAGAGATGGCCAAAAACCGGTCCCGGGCCGGTCCCAATCGGTCCTCACATTTCTCATAACCGGCCATAACCGGTCCCGGCGTAACCGGTCCCGGTCTCGGTCCCGGTCCCGGTCGAAAACAATAGGACCGGTATAGGTACTCTATAACCGGTTATGGGCCGCCGGTCCCGGTCCCGGTCCCAACCGGTCCCAACCGGTCCTTCATTAAAAAAATAAGATTTTATTTTTATTTTTTTAATGATATATATTTTTAATACATTATAAAATTTACAATTGGGTCACTCAAATACACTTTAAAAATGCGTTTTAATATAATTAAAATTACGTTTTCTTATAAAAATACATTATAAAATTATTTAAAAATACATTTATATATAATATTATTTGAATTTTCGGGCCGGGCCGGGCCGGTCCATAGTCGGTCCCATAACCGGTCCCGGTCCCGGTCGGTCCCGGTCCCACGAAACTACCAAAAACCTTAACCGGTCCCGGTTTTCGGTCCCATAACCGGTCCTTACCGGTCCCGGTCCCGGGCCGGTCCTTTGTCGGTCCCGGTCCCGGTCCTCCGGCGGTCCCGGGCCGGGCCGGGCCCATTTGGCCATCTCTACTGGGAAGAAAAAGCCCGAACCCATTATTGAAGGGTTTGTTTTTTAATTTCTACGGACTCCAAAATTCATTTTTCATATTAAATTTTTGATCCAAATATTCTTTAGGATTATCTATTTTAATATTACTACAAGGGTACTTGTACAATGTATCGAGATACATCTTGATTTTAATATTTTATTTTTTTCTTTGTCTCAGTCGATGTTATAATATGAAGACGTAATGTTTTCATTTTTAAATAAAATATAAATATGAAGATATGATAAAAAAAAATATTGATATTAATATCAAACTAACTATTTAAAATTTCTTCATTTTTTGTGTATTTTTTTAGTTTTTGATTTAATAATATAATTTTTTGTAAAGATAATAATTAAATATTTTGTTATAAGTTAATGGCTATCCTAATTATATTTTTAGAATTATTTATATTTAAAATGAGATGTTTATTCTTTATTTAATTATGTTTATTTACAGTTAGTTACATTAAACTTTAATAAGTTGTAATTATGCACAATTTACTTGTAACCTTGAATTTTAAGTAACATGCATCAATAAACAGTACTTCATGCATAAAAAATGGTTTTTAAGAAGTTTTGTCGAATGTTTTATAATATAGTATAGATATAGAAACAAAGGATTAGATGAGAATGTGATTAAAATACAAAAACAAGAAACGGTTAAATCACATGGATTGTACATGGATCATGTGATGGCTAAAGTTGCACAAATCACATGTACATGATTTTAGTGTAAAATCATATGTGATTCGACTGTTTTCACATTCTCTTGTTTAGTTATTCTTCTCGTATGAACATGACCCCCCTCTCTCTATATATATAATTAATTATATATATATATTATAAAATATTTATATCGTATTTATTAAAATTAAAATTTATTACTTATTATTAAATTAGAATAAAAAATCGTCATACATCAATATTATAACGATAAGAATTGCTCTCACAAGCAACTATTAATCTCAAGATCAATACATCAATGGATTATTTATAAAATATAAGATCGTTTACTTGAAACATATCAAATGAAAACTCAAGAAATCATGAATTTTTCTTAGTATTTTTATTTTAATTGCTCTCGAATTTGTATTTTTAAATTTTAAACTTTCTGATATTTTTTTTAAGTAATACCAGATAATTAAAGTCACATATACGTCTCAATTTTATGAGATTTGAACCCGTAACTTTTTAAAAGATGGTTTGTATTTTATCGGTAAGATATTGCTAAATCAATCGAGATTTGGACCCCCTAATTTTTTAAAAGATAGTTCTGGTTTTATCTGTAAATATTGCTGTACCAATCAAGTTTCAGCAACATTCATATATTCTTCGTCTATAGGTTAAAACTACAAAACCCATATACTTTAAAAACATATCCATCATACACAACCTTGATTTTGATCACTTTCGCTTACCATTTGAAAAACATTACGATAAAACATATGTGCAAGAAATCTTGGCTTGAACCTCAAGTGGTTTTAAAGACAGTTTTTCGAACTCTAAACGTTACAAAGCTAGTCACTTCCGATACTTCATAACTATTTAAATAAAAAATAACAATTCAGATGTCAGAGCCAATCAATATATATATATATATATATATATAGAGAGAGAGAGAGAGAGAGAGAGAGAGAGGGGGAGGTTGGTTATTATACAACCATTTACATTTGTACAACCAATACAACACAATCTCAACCGTCCATTTAATTTGATAAATATGTGATTTCATAAAAGTTTTGATTGTTTCCTGATATAAAGTATTGATCATAATTAATGAACTCTATTCATCTTTCATAAATATTTAAATCATAATAAATAAACTCTCATCATTTCCATAAATATCTCAATTAATTAAGTTGCACTGATTGTACAAGAATAAAGGAAAGACGCACCACAATTATTTAAAAAATACTGTATTTTATATATGTATCTTTTAATCTATATTTTTTTTTGGATAATATTAGCAATAAATTGTGTCCTTTCAATAATAGATATAAGGTTTTCATACGTATACATAGATAACTACTATCCTAATTAATTAATTAATTAGGGTTGATGATAATGAAAAAGATTTTATTTTCTTTAAATATCTTGTAATTTAATCAATTACTAATAATTGTTTAAATAAATGAAAAAACACATGAATTTGATGGTTTTTGTCTTCATGTTCAACATAATTAAGTAAGGCCAACTCTTTTGAAATGATGTATCGTAATTTCAAAAAATTTGTATTGTTCTGTTCGAACCAAAATAACGTCACTCAAAATCAAAAGAAATATATATGATTAGACAACGTATTTGATTGACAACACCGATTAAATCTTATAAAATATAAAGAGAATGATATCTTAAAAAATCTCGCATCTTTCAACTTTTTGGCATGTAGATCTCTTGGTTAAAGCTTCTAATGTTTTGAGTTTCTCGAGATGTGAAAATACATGTGTAATGACCTCACGTTCCATATTTGCATATAATCTCATTTTTCAAAGCTTTAGAAGGTGAGGGGTGCTCATCTCCCAAGCTTTGGAAGATAAGGGGGTTCATCGTTTGATCCGATAGTTGGCGAGTTAACCGCGATAGATAATGGGGCATCCACGATAGTTGGGCGGAGCATCCGCGATGGTTTTAACTTTTGAGATCAGAACTGAATTCATTAAAATTTTGATCTATTTGACGAGATGAGTTATATCAAAATGTGTTAAATGAGTAATTTGGTTACTTGATGCATTAAATTGGTAATATC